GTGCAGGGAAGAGGCTACCGTTCCTTCTTTTGTTCTTGATAAAAGACCAAAACAATTTGGGGTTGTATCGTAAGCTTGATTCGAGACGAGCAATGTAGTCTTTGTAGCATGTAACCATAAGGTGTTGGGCTCGCTTTTTAGCCAACTCGAAAGATAATTTATCCAAAGGGTTTTTATTGAATTTTTTAAGCTTGTTCCTATATTTCAGTTTTTCCTTAAGAAGTTTAATTAAGTCGCAAGAAAACCACGGAGGGTACTTCTTGCTTCTTGGTGAACGCTTCGGCACATGTTTCTCGATAACCATGCGAATATGTTTATAGAATACCAAAAGCATATCATCGACAGACGGACAAACTTCCAGTTCGGTGTCCCAGTCGACGTTTATTAAATCTCTGATGACGTTGTCGTAATCTGCTTTATAAAAATAGAGACGGTTATTGTTGTCCGGAATCAAATTGTTGTTACAATTTTTCCTACCACCATCAGATATGTTGAAAACAAAAGGTGGGTGGTAACGGTCAACCTTCGAAAGTGGATCGCTGCTTGTACATAAATTGATAATATTGGTTCTGTTACTGAGCACTAAATCCAAGACCTTGCCGTCACTGTTGAGCGTGTGGTTATATTGCTCTAATTTATTCATCGAGCAAAAATCAAGAAGCATATTAGGCAATAGGTGATTACTAGACTTACAGTTAAGAGACTGCATGTTATTAGTTACATTCCAGGTTATGCAAGACAGATTAAAGTCACCGACAAATATGACGTTTTCAATTTTATTTTGTTCCAAGACTCTATTGGAATTAACCAAAAAGTCGTCAAGAACATCCTGCCTAAGGGGTGAGCGGAGGTAAACTGAGCATAGGTAGAAGTGCATTTGCTGACCTCTCTCATTAAAGCTTTTGATTCGTAGCCAGATGTCTTCACAGTTCGATTCCAATTCTCGAAGCCGGCTGGAGATGTAGCATTTGGACACAGCCACAGCCACCCCACCCCCATCACTCTTACCATGAATATTGCTAGACTCCCCATCGCGTCTGTAAACTACATATCTGTCATCGAACAACTCAGAATCGAAGACGCTGCTGTCACACCATGTCTTTATCATTATTGCTTAGATGGGTGGATGAGCTCACAGCCCACCTGGTGTTAAGTGGTCACTGGAGCCCATAGACATCTACAACGTAAATGCGCCACCCGAATATTGGGTCCGTCCACTTACTAGCCGTCGATTTGAGAAAGGTTTCTTTCGTAAAAAATATCGAATTTTAAGAAAACATCCAGAGTAATTTTTCATTTACAATCAGATGGATGTCAGTAGCCAGTTTCGATAAAATATTGCTCAATGTGCGTCCATGCCTCACCTACATGGATACAAAATTTCGCAAATATATTTCACATTACAAAAAACCGCCCGGTAACCGCGAGCCCGGGAGCCCACCTAGTTCTGTGGATTATAAATTTTGATTCGATTTTTTTTCGCGGTAATATTGTAACTTTTACTGGTGGTAGGACCTCTTATGAGTCCGCACGGGTAGGTACCACCGTCCTGCCTATTACTGGCGTGAAGCAGAAATGCGTTTCGGTTAGAAGAGCGGGGCAGCCGTTGTAACTATACTGATACCTTAGAAATTATATCTCAAGGTGGGTGGCGCATTTACGTTGCAGACGTCTATGGGCTCCAGTAACCGCTAAACACCAGGTGGGCTGTGAGCTCGTCCACCCATCTAAGCAATAATATAAACTAAAAAAACCATTTCGCGGTTTTAAAATCAGTTGCCGGAAAACCGCAAATGCGGCCGCTTGTATTCCTTCTTCTATTTCATAAACTCTTAACAGTTTTAAATCGATGCGGTTTATCCCTAGTGCGGCCTAAGCCTAATAATCTAATTAAGGAAGGGGAGAGGACAAGCGGTAACCACATAATATCAAAAATAAGCAGTACTATCTCACTATCAATATATAAGGTCTGCCGGTAAGTAACAAAAGACTACAACAAACTAAAAAATTAAAACAGAAAAAAAACCAAAACAAAGAAAATCGGACCCACATCCAGCCTCTTACTTACCATGTATAATATAACTTGTTATACGCTATTTATTATTCTAAATTTAATAAATTACGTTTTAAATCACAATAGGATTCTAATGATTCTAACGTCCGTCTGGTGTAGTGGTAAGTGACATGGTCACTACACAAGGGGGTCGCGGGTTCGAATCCCGCCAAGGGAAGGTATTTGTATGATAAATATAAATGTCTTGTCCAGTGTTATGTATGTCTCTTAAATATATGTATGTGTATAATAAAAATCTTACATTTATTTCCGTTATCTGGTACCTGTAACACAAGTTCTTTACGAACTTATCACGGGACCAGTTAACGTGGTGTGATTGTTAGTAAATATGTATTATTATTTATTATTATTATAATGAGAATAGTAATGTGTTCCGGCTAACAAGCTGAAGTGTATTCGCAACACAAATTGAAAGCCTTCTGAAAAAAAAATGCCTTTTTTTATTGCTTATAGTTGACAGTTGGACGAGCTCGCAGCCCACCTAGTGTTAAGTGGATACTGGAGCTCATAGATATAACGTAAAAGCCGCCTCCCACCTTGAGATATGAGTTCTAAGGTTTCAAGTATAGTTACAACGGCTGGTCCACCCTTCAAACCAAAACGCATTACTGCTTCACGGCAGAAATAGGCAGGGGGTTGGTGCCTACCCGTGCGGACTCACAAGAGGTCCTACCACCAGTAATACGTTCTATATAATTATACCTTCAATTTATGTAAGAGCAATACTCATCTAAATAAGAAGGAATGTGTTTGTTAGCGATCCGCCTTGCATGTCATGGTAAAGCCAATATATTAGATTAAGGTATGGGAGTACATGTGGTATGTAATATGAGACTCATGACTTAGGTATGCAAGGGTAGTTGTCGCTGACGCGGCCTGCATAGTCGTAAACTATCTCCAGGTCATCCAATCCATTTTCTGCAGGATAGCCGCTGGATCACCGAGGTATGTGAGGAATGTAGATCATGACGACCTCAAATTAGAATAAAAAAGAAATGTGTGGTGTCGCGGGACAC